TTCAGAGCTCCCCTGGCCACCCATGAAACATTCTCGTATTGGCTGGAACCAGCCTGCGTTCTACAATCTTGTCTGAATGTCCCGGTTCTAGAATCCCCAGCCTATTCCAGACTGCATTCTAGAAGCAGACGGGTCGGCTGCTTTTCCTGGGCATCGTCAGCTCACTCAGGCTCTCCTGCCTGACTTGAATCTATGCTGCTCCCAGGATGCGGTGGCGAGACCGCATGGCTGTGCTCTTCCTCCCACAGGGCATGGTGCTCAGCATGGCTGCGCTGATGCTCTTCTTTATACACCTGGGCATCTTTGCCAGTGATGTGCACAACTTCTGCTTCACCCACCACTACGACCGCATGAGCTTCCGCTACACAATTGTTCTGATGGTAGGTCGGGCAGGGCCTCAAGAGGCAGTTGGGGGAGGCCCAGGGGCTGAGGGAAACCCCGCTGCTGTGTCACGGGGCCACTCTCCCACTGGGTGGGGCCTACAGTTCTCCCAGGTGATCAGCATCTGCTGGGCCGCCATGGGGTCACTCTACGCTGAGATGAAAGACGACAAGTTTGTTCGATGCTTTGCCCTGACCATCCTGAGTGAGTGGGGAAATGGGGGGCTTTGGACGCCTGAGAAGGTGCGAGGAGGGGGCAGGAAAGGCTGACGGGGACTCTCTCCTCTGCTCAGTGCTCAACGGAGCCATGTTCTTCAACCGCCTGTCCCTGGAGTTTCTGGCCATGCAGTACCGGGAGGAGACCCACTGAGGGCTGGGGACTGTGCTGAGAAGGGGGAAGGAAAAGGAGGCTTTGGGTATTTTAATAAAGTCTGCCATTTATTTCCACCTGTCAACTCCTTCATGGGTTGGGGGTGGGAGGCCAGAGACCCAGGGAAAGCAGCTCAAGACAAATACTTAATCTGCAGGGTCCCCAGACCCAGCCTGCAGCCACTCTTGTGGCCTTGGCTTTGGGCCTGGGATCTTAGTGTCTCAGGCTTGAGAGAGAGGAGCAGTGACGGGCCCTCAGACCTCCCCACCTCCCCTCCTCAGGCCCCGGGTCCTAGGCTGGCCCAGCCACAAGCAAGGGCTCAGGAGGGTCCCACACGGATGTGAGGGTTCATGAGTGGGTCCAGGTTGGGATCATTGTCAGCTGCAGCCCGGCCCAGGCGAGACATGAGGGCAAGGAGGGCCAGGAAGCCCAGCAGCCCCAGCAGCAGCAGCAGCCCCGCCCGCTGGAGCAGGGTCAGCGGCCGCTTACGAGACCCATCCCGGCTCCTGGGGGGATGAGGGGAAAGTCAGGTCAGGCCCCGGTCCCTGGTGGCCCCCGTGGCCTGGAGAGGAGCCCTGGTCACGACACTCGTCTTCCGGTCCCAGCGCCACCATCCCTGAGCCTTGTTTCCTCAACGTGCCACAGGGAGGACCGTCCCTGTGCCTGCCCACTACAAGGGTGACTGTGCAGTTCAAACCAGCAGAGGCAATGACTGTGTTCTGGAAACTGGAACGTGGCAAGTATGGGGACAGTCACAAAGACTGGGTGGTGCCGAAGCAGGAAGGGGCCTCAAAGGGCCCGAGTCCAAGCCTCCTCTGTAGTAGCTGAGGAACAGCCCAAGAGGGCAGACCCAAGACTTCTATTGTCAAGCCGAGGCCTCTCTACACAGCCCCCAAACCTGGGCAAGCCCCTTTTGTCGTGAAATCGTTGTGCTCGGGCCTCTGGCTCTCACTTCTCCCCCCTTCCTGGCATCCTGCCCCACCTGCCCCTGTGTACCTGAGCAGCTGGGCCAGCCAGCCCAGTGCAGGCCGGCGACGGTACTTGTCATCATCGTAATCCCCATGGAGGCCTGGTGCCCGGTCATCATCGCGTGTGTCATACACCTTCCTTGGGGCCGAGGCTGCAGGGGCAGAGCCACCAGCATCCACAGACTCAGGGAAACTGGCCCACAGCAGGGTGAGTGGGTAGAGCAGGAGATCCTTGCCCTTCTCGGCCTGACATTATATCTCAGAATTGCGGGGAGGTATTATCTGTGCTCGGAGTGAGGAAGGGCCCCTCTGGACAGGACTCTGGAGCCCTGAGCTCCCTCCACAAGAACCACCCCACCCCCTTTACATCCTCCCCTGGCCTGGTCAACCCCCTAGCTCACCATGAGCCAAGGGCTCGGAACTGCCCACGTGAATCACCGTGTGCTGCTCGGGACGGCTGGGAGGAGCTGGGGGCCGGGGGACTTGGCTGTAGAAGGCTGGGGCAGTAGAAGCGCTGGCTCTCTCTCCTTGTTCAGGGGTACCAGTGGCTGTGGCAGGAAGACAGCTGTCAGCTGAGCAGGGAGGCAAGAGCCCCAACAGCAGGTGGAGGCCACCACTCACCGTTAAAGCTGGACCAGTCCGAGAAGTCGGAGCTGTTGGGGGACTCGGGCTCCGGGCTCACCACCTCATCAATCTGGAGGGAGGAACCTGTGTCACCAGCCTTCCCAGTGCTATCCCCACCCGCTTATTTGGCCCAGGTGGGACCCAAGGCAGATGGACAGAGAGAGGGACTCTCACCAGAGGAAGGCCCAGACCTGCCCGGGCCCAGTTGACGGTGGTCAGCTTCTCTCTCAGCACAGAGGCCACGGGGCCAACTAGGTTGCTTGGGGGGAAGATGGGGCCATTGCAGCTGGGACACTGGTAGCCAGCAGGCGCTGTATTTCGGGGTAGCTGGGCAGCACGTTCATTGAGGCAGGCCCAGTGGAAGAGATCTTAGGGTCCATGAAATAGCAGAGAAGAGGCATCAGGAAGAAAACACTCTGGACCCCTAGCCCAGCAACAGCCCCCAGCCCGCTGCAGGGATATATGCACACATACATGTAAGCCCAGGGCCTTCTGCCCATCCTCACCCTAGGTCCATTTCATCAGCGTTCCCTAAACCTTCAGCCTTGCTGACTATCACCACCTCACTAAGTCAAAACAGATGCTACAAAGCTCCCCAGCCCACTAGGGGAGAGGTGTGGGTGGAAAGAAGATGCCACAAGCTCCTGGGCTAACAGCTAATCAAGAACAGTTTCAGAAAAGTTTCCTAGACAAACACAGGCACACATATGCTTGTACACATTCATGAGCACACATATACACAGGCTTGTGTACACATAATCAAACACAAGTGCCATCCTTGTATCTATACTTACAGACACACCAACTTGCACATCTATACACTCGTTTGTTTACTAACACTTGAGCACCCTCACCCACACATTCTCCTACAGCCCCAAAATACATCTGTAGTGATGCTCACACACAATGCAAGTACTAATGAACATACTAACACTTACGTGAAGGCACAAAACACACTAAATTCATGCACAAATATCCACACATTCACACTAAAAAACACATACACAGAGCTCAACTTTTTTGCACTAGCTCCTTCACCAAGTGGAGTTAAGACTCTTAGACCAGAGGCAGGTCAAGGTCATGACATGTGTCTACTGACTTCTTTCAGCAGACTTTACTGTGGGAAACTAATTTCCTCTCTGTTGAATCTTGGAATCTGTAATGGATCCCAAATGCCTGAAAGCCCCATTCTTTTAGTTCATGGCTGATATGTCCAGCAAACATCCATAAGTTTGACTGGCTCTCACTCAACTGAGTTTGGAGGGAGGAAATTAGGAGCTTTAATTTTTAGGGATAGACACTGAGGCCTAGAAAGGGAAAATGACTTGTCTGAGTTCACATGGCCGGTAAATAACCCAGCAAGACTAGGAACTGCTGCTCCAGCCTCCCTGGGTAGACAGTCTCACTGTCCTGCTGCTGCTTAGGGAGGGCCAAGAACCAGGGGTCAAGCTGGGCCTGTCCTGATACCCCTAAGGTGCCCAGGCCTCACCATAACAGACGAGGCGGGTCGTCTCCCGGGCAGCCAGGGGTGTGTTGCACAGGCGGCAATTGGAGCTGTAGTCGCTATCTTGGAGCCACTGCAGGTACGACTGTACAATGCACTGGAGCGGGAAGACAGAGGTCACAAATGGAGCAGGCTCTCCACAGCCCAGCTCCCTAAGGCGAATTGCCTCTTTAATCTCTTGTCACAGAGGAGACTTATCCTTCCGTTTGTTCAATCAACAAACATTTATTGAGCACACACTGCGTGCTAGACTCTTAATAGCTGGGGATATTGCAGTGAACCAAATAAACCAAGTCCTTGCCCTCGTGGAGTTTCCATTCTACTGTCAGGCCCTTCATGAATTTGGAGGAAGCCAATACTATCTGCCCTTCCAGTGCCCCTGTTCAGCCGCTCCCCTAAAGACCCCACCTTGGCGTGATTGGCTACCAGGCAGTGCTCGCAGACGTTGACCCGGTGTTCGAAACAGAATAGGTTGGTCACCTTCCTCTTGGGGCACTTGCAAAGCCCCATGGTCGACCCTGGGGAAGAGTTAGTAGGGAGCCAGGTTCCGGTGGCCGCCACTAGGAACTCACCAGCCCAGTCCGTTTTTACTCCCCTTGACTGTCGTTGGCGCCAGCTCCAAATTTCTGCCCACCTCCCCTCCTCACTCCGGACCACGCCCCCTGCACAAATCCCGCCTCCGAAGACCCCAGCGTTCCTTCTGGATCCCGCCCCTGGCCAGGATCCTCCACCGGCCTCTCTCCGAGACCACCAGCCCCGCCCCCAGGGGCCCCCCTGAGTCCCACCCCCCGAGCCCCGCCCCCACTTTCTCCACAGACCCCACTCTCGGTGTTACTGATGTACCACGGCACCGGTCCCGACGAGCGGGAGCGCTGGTCCCAGGGGTAGACACTGTGCTCCGCCGACCTCCAGCTCAGCTCTTTCCAACTCGGGCCTCTCCGATTATCCCTCCGCTGCCACGTCTCTTCCGGGTGCGGCGCGTACTGATGACGCCAGCGCGCCACTGGCCCCGCCCCTGCTGATGATCATTGTGGAGACCGGTAAGGAAAGGGAGAACCGACCGCTTTCACCCTGCCGCCTTACGTCACTTCCGCTTCCTCACGGGCCTGGCGGGTAGTTCGAACCGTTTTGCCTCAGGAAACTCCGGAGTTGGCGCGAGCCTCAGCACCAGCGGCGGCGGTGGCGATCGCGGCGGCGCAGCGAACGTCGAGACCAAGGCCAGATATGTCCGAGAGGCGAACGCGGTCCGGTGGGGCCTCCAGGGTCTCCGGTGAGAGGAGCGCGCTCGGGAGACATGGGGCCGAGCCGTGTGAGGGCGCAGTACCGCGAGGAAGGCCCTACCCCTACCTGCTTAGGAGGCTCGGCTCACGGCCCCGCCCCCGCCCCGCGAAGGCGTCCCCAGGGGCCTATTTGGGAACCTTCCGTCGCTCTCTCCAGAATCTGTTTTCCAGACTTTAAGGTCTGGAGCCCCTCACTACCTTCTAACTCCCCCCCCCCCCAGGGCCAAAGGGCGCATCTCCTCCTCAGTCTCGGCGGAGATCCCAGCGGAAATCAGGCTCCGATCTCCCCAGCACGCTCCCTGAAATCTTTCCGAAGGTGAGCCCGGGGTTCCTCAGTTCCTGCCCCGGAGGCGTGGACTAATAGAGACTCATGGTCCCCTTTTCTTTCCAGGCGCCCCGTGCGGCTCCAGTCAGAAAGCCCATCGTCTTGAAGAAGATCGTGGCCCACGCTGTAGAGGTGAGGGCTGAGAGAGGGGTGGCGGGTGGGGAGTAAAATTGGGGGCCGGCTATATGATCAGTTAGTGTTGTCTCCACAGGTGCCATCTGTCCACTCGCCTCGAAGGAGCCCTAGGGTGAGTTCGTTTTCAGCTGCTTTGCTGAGTGGAATTCAGGACGTTCCGGAGCTGGGACGAGGCGTAGTGCTCATGTGCTCAGGGAGCTGTTCTGCAGAATTTAGGAAGTTGCTTTTCACGCCTGCGTGCATGGCTAACCTCGTGTACTCCTCGTAGACTGAATTAGCTTTTGATGCGGTGGTACCCTCGACCATTTTCCTTTAAAAGTTGAACTGTGTCCCAGCTATTCTTTCTCTTTACTCCATCTTGTCCTTGGTTTTTATTTGGGATGGTAGGATGAGTTACGTGTACATGTTTTTATGGTTTTAGTAGAAGCCAAAACGTTTCATTAAAATGTGTGCCTGAAGATATGAATGAGAAATGCGAACGTTTTGAGGAGCTTAGGGGGTTACGGTCAAGTGGGGAACAAGTGATGACAACACTGTATGATATACGCTGTATGAAGAAAGGAAAGGACTAGGCTGTGGCGTGCATCTGACCCAGACCAGGTGGCTCAGGAGCATTTCACAGAAGAAATGTTTTAACTGAATTGAGTCTTTAATCTTGACAGACAAGTAGCAGTATATCAGGCAAGAGAAGCTGTATTTGCAGAGACCTGGAGTGCACACGTGTACACACACACACATCACGAGGTTTGGGGGGCATCATTTTGTTCGGTGTGTCCTCGGTAGACCTCGTCAGGGGAGGGAGTGTGCTGATGTATAAACCTTGATGAGGCATGGAGGCCATGCTTGGGAGCTTGGGCTTCTTGTCCTTGGCTCTGTGGGCAGCCTTTGGAGAGTCTTAAGCAAAGGAGTGACTGAGTTAAGCTTGGGTGTGTGTTGTACAAAACTCCCTCTTGGAACTGGGAAGAGAATGGGCTGGGACAAGGCTGTTTCGGACCCCAAGACCAGGTAGGAAGACTTGGCAGGGATCCCGAAGTGGTGGGGGCCTGAAGTATTTTGCTGTGTACAGTGTGCACCTTTGTGCCCAAATTTTGGAGGGGAAAATAAGGATGTGCGTTATACATGGATATAACAATGGATGTAACAGTCCTGTGTATAATGCACACAAAATGTGGGCATGCATTATACACGACAAAATACGGCAAATAATGGCAAAACGATGCTGTCCCCCCCGCATCACATAACGGTCTCATCCCACAGGGCTGAGCTCAGTGCATGCCTCCTCCCAGAAGCATGCATCTGAGTGTGAGTGGAATTATGAAGTGCCACTACGTGAACCTCTTAATCCACATGTCAGATTAAACCCTTTCCTGTTCACAGCCTTGTCAGGGCTCCCTGGGTCTGCTCTTACAGTGACCTAAAAAATGCCTGCAATGTCCCCCATTACCTCTCATACCCCATCTTCAGTTCCTCCTTACTTCCTCCCACATCAGCCACACTGGCCTTCTTGTTCTTTGACTGTAACTGGGAAGCTTTCATCCCAGGACTTGTACATCACCCGCTCCTTCTGTCTTGAACGCTGTCCTCTGGATGACTCAACAACCCCACACACACCTCTTCCAGGTCGGAGCTCAAATGCCACTTCAGTGAGGCCTACATTGACCTTCACTTACTTAAAGTTCCAACCCGCTCCAAGTACTCTCAACCCTGTTCTATTTTTTCCCCAAGTGCTTACTGTGTTTAATATACTGCATAATTTTTCCCTATTTATTTTTTTCCACTAGAATGGAAGCTCTAGGGAGACAGGGTTTTCATTTATTCTTTTCTGTACTTCTAGTGCTTGAAGCAGACAGGTGACCAATAAGTACTTATTGGTACTTATTGATGGACACTTTAGGAGAATCATTGTCAGTTGTGACAAATGGACCACAGAAGGCAAGGGTGGAAGTAGGAAGAGCAGTTAGAAGGTCATTGGACTAGTCTAAATGACAGATAATGGGGGGCTTGCATCAGTTAGAGGTGGCTAGATTCCAGTCACATTTTGGAGACAGAGCTGGCGGCGCCAGCAGGTAGTGGCCAGTCTTCGTGTCGCAACAGTAGGCTCCGCAGAAGCAGTGACCAATTGTTTATTTCTCCCCCTCTCCACATCTGTCTCAGGATCTGATTTCTTGCCTGGCCTATCCCCTCTTTTCCTTTTAAAAGTGTCTGTGAATCTTTCCCTCCACCCAAAATCTGCTTGGGTCTTTCTGAAGTAAGTAGCAACACAGCTAAGTAACAGGGAAGTATTCTCTCTTCTGTCCTGGTACAGCTTGCTTTCTTCTTGGAGAAAGAAAACAGCCCTCCTATCAAGGAGCCCACTAGGGAGGACCTCTTCAAGACATGTAGTGTCCCTGCCACTCCCAACAACACGCCTGTGCTATGCGACCCGAATGTTGAGTCAGACTCCAGGGAAGACCTGGACACCAGAGACTTGGAAATGTCTAAGAAAGTCAGGCGGTCCTATAGCCGGCTGGAGACCCTTCGCTGTGCCTCCACCTCCACCCCAGGCCGCCCATCCTGCTTTGGCTTCGAAGGGCTGCTGGGGGCAGAAGACCTGGCTGGAGTCTCGCCTTTGCTGTGTTCAAAGTCAACCGAGGTTCCCAGGGTCCCTGTGAATCCCTGGACCCCAGACACGACTCTCCCTGGAATCTCCCCACCAGTGAAGGAGAAAAGAAAGAAGAAGAAGGTGCCGGAGATTCTGGTGAGTGAGGGGCAAGGGGCTTTCCTCTGCCATCACGCAGACATAGTGGGTGACCTGCTGGGCTGGGGCTCAGCTTTGGCTGTTTTGGGAGAAAGACAGCACCTGCAGGGTGTGGGTAGAAAAGACCCAGCCAACATGCCTGCTCCCCATTCACCTGACCCCCCATTTCTCTTCCCCCAGAAATCGGAGCTGGATGAATGGGCCGCGGCCATGAATGCTGAGTTTGAAGCTGCTGAGCAGTTTGATCTCCTGGTTGAATGAGATGAAACTGGGGGGCACCTAGACAGACTCTGTCCTCTTCTCCCTGTACATAGCGCCTTCTTCCTGTGGAAAAGACACTTGGGTCCCCTTCCCTGGCCTTGTTATCTGTGCATGTGCTGTTGCTGCACCTGAAGTCTGTCCTGAGTGTGTGCGCAGTGACAGCAGCCACTTCAGCTGTAGGAAATAGAGCTCGCCTCGCCCGGTGTCCTGGCTCTAGTCAGTGACCACCACCGTCTCCTTGCTACCTCCCACAGTGGCCCGGCCAGTTTCCAGCTGGGCCACAGACTGGGGAGGGGAACTTACTGACCCAGCCAGAGGGGGTGGCAGAGCTGGGGACTGGGGGAGAGCCTCCTTGCTGTCACTAGGGGGCGTGGCTGCTCTGTGCCAGCCCCAACAGAAATGGGCGCAAACAGCCCTAGCGGCCTCAGGCTTTCTCTCCTGAGTTGCCTCCTGTTGGTGGCTCGGTTCTGTCTCTATAAAAAGGCTTGGGTTTTCTCTTAGACTCTGCAAATGGTCCAGGAGAGAAGTCGTGGGTTGGGGGCAGCTCTGTCTGTGAGGAAGATGGACACTCAGCCAGTAGAGTCGGGTTTTGAAGGAGGGTGGGGAACCTTGGTTGGTCTCAGATCATAGGCGTTTACTCCTCAGAAGCTGTATTTTATAGTTCTCTGTTCTGCTGTTGAGATGTTTGGTTAAATGCCAGGCTGATGGAGGGCTGGCTGCATGGGGTAAAGGGTGCTTTTAGGGGTGTGACCCCAGGTGCCGTGGGCTCCAGCCTCCACAGAACCTTAGGTGGCCCCTCTTGCCACTCATACCTGTTTCTTACAAACTAAAGTACACAGAGTCTAGTCAGCTCTGGAACAAACACATGTAGGTTGAACAGTCCTTGTCTCACTAGCATTTTGCAGCTACACTTTGTAAAGGTCTAGGAAGCTTTTCTCACGATCCACAAGGGACAGGGGTTGATAGCAGTTTGAACCTTTAGCTTCCTTAGAGTCCTCTCCCACAAGGACACTGCCTGAGACATGTGCCAGGAGTTGAGCGGGGGGGACCAAGGGGATGAGCTCATTGTCTTCAGGGAATCGCACTCCCCTCCCCCTATTTTTCCTTTCTCAGTGCTGGTCAGAGGTGTGCTTTCAAAGGCTGCCCAACCACAACTTCCCCCATGCCCCAGGTCGTTGGGCCGTTGCTCGTTTTCAGGGCTGTGCAAGTGCAGGCTAAGAGGACGGGAGGGGCTGGGGGATAGCAGAGAGTATCAGGGAGGATGAGCGCTTGGCGAGGTTACCTGAAACGGCACAAGCCTGGTGGGTGCCAGTTAAACTCTACAAGGCCGGGGAGTCCCCAGACTACCTGTTCAACGCTTTGGGCTTTGTCAGGTCCTGCAAGCAAGCCCCTTGGCCAGGGTGGGCCGGACGTGCTTGAGCTGGACCACACCTGAAGAATTCTTGTCCTCACCAGCTGCTGGGGCAGGACTCCTGGGAAATGTCTTAGTCCTGCAGAATCAGGGGTAGCCATGTGATAAGGAGTTGGTGTCATCACTGCAAACCTCTCTGTCCCTGAAAAACTAAGAATGTGGAGTTTAAGGAAAAATTGGAGTTTCTTTTTCTAAATAAACCTGATTGAAGAGTGTCTGCTTGGAGATTGTGTTTCTTTCATTAGGTCAAAGGCAGAGCAGAGGATATGAGGCCCAGGAAGCTAAGCCTTCTTTGGGCTGTGTCACAGCATTGTCCCTTTTAGAGGGGGCTGCCAGCCTGGCCTCAGTACCCTGTGGTAGATCACTGCCCCCACCCCCTATGTATGTTCTGTCTAGTTGCTCACATGCATTCCTCCGAGGTTGGACTACCAGCGACGGTGGCCTCAAAGGGCGCCCCATCCCCTGCTGTCCCAGGAGGATCTGGGGGTGAGGCTGCTAAGAGCCCTATGGGACGGACCCTATGCCCAGCCCAAGTCCAGCCCTTGTTACCTTGACCCTGAGCCCGCTGCCCCCCCCGCCCCACCCCTCCCCGCCATGGATCCAGCTCCTCACACTGGCCCAGCCTGGGTGCTCAGCAGCACTGGATGCGGAAGCCTCTAGGGAAATATCCGAGCAACGTCATGTGGGTGGTTTGGATGGCACAAACCAGTCTCTACGTTTGTCCTTGCCTCATAGACTGAGCAAGTCAAGGCGTTTAAATTCTTAAGTTCTCCCCACAGCCTCCCCAAACCTCCCTACTCCTGCCTTCTTCCCTCTTTTCAAGGCCAAGCTTTCCACTTTGGCTTTTGATCAAATTCTTTCATCTCTAAGATCTTGTGCCTCTTTCTCGTACAAGTCCTAAACAGGCTAAGTTCATCTTATTGTTGAAAACAACCACCCTAACCCAAAAAAGTCTTGACTGGCCTCTGTTTTTAGCTGCTACCATTACGCCTTTCAAAGTTGGGCTCTTTGAAGGAATGTTGGGAAATTGCCCTCTGTTTCTGTCCCGTTTATGCTAGATGCCCTCCCTCCATTTACTGCTTGGCCAGAGGGAGCCGGCGAGCCCCTGATCCGCAGTGCTGTGGACTCAGGCCTCGGCAGCCGGCCCAGAACACCCTTCTTGGGCCTTCGGCGTTGCTGGCCCCTTTCTGTGCTTCCCCTGAAATGTTGGGATGCCTAGGTTCAGTCCTGGACCCCCTTTCCAGTCTGCTTGCCCTCCCTAGATGACCTCAAGCTCCCCAGTCTGCTCTGTTGCTCAAGATTTGCTACTCTTTTCTCTCCAACCCATACCTCTCTCCTGAACTTCAAACCAGAATCTAGAATTATCGTCTAGAACTGGATCTCAAACTCAGAAGCCATCTCGAACTCAGCTCATCCATCACCATGCCCCTTCTGTGCTCCTGTGCCATTAGCATCACCTCCAGCTACCCAGTCACACAAGCCAGGACCTGGGAGTCACCTTCTCCATCTCCCCATCCCTCCATCCCCACCTCCGCATCCCTCCATCCCCATGGCTACTGAACGTGCGCCCTGGCCGCCTCTTGGCTCTTCTCCAGACTTCACACTGCGGCCAGAATGAGTTTCCTAAGAGAAAAATATGGTATTTTTCCCCTGCTTAAAGCCCTCTGATACAATTCCACTTCTGGGTGTAATACCCAAAAGAATTGAAGGCAGAGTCTTGAAGAAATATTTGTACAACCATGTTTATAGCATGGTTCGTAATAGTCAAAAGGTGGAAACAACATAAGCATCCATCCGTGGATGAATGGATAAACAAAATGCAGTATATAGATATAATGGAATATTATTCAAAAGGAGTGAAATTCTGATACATGCTACATAAGGGGTGAACCTTGAAAACATGATGCTAAGTGTAATGAGCTAGATACAAAAGGACAAATACTGTATGATTCCATTTATATGAGGTACCGAAAACAGTCAAACTCATAGAGACAGAAAGTAGAATGATGGTGGTTGCCAGGCGCTGGGGGCGGGGGTGGGGTGGGGTGGGAATGGAGTTATTTAATGGGTCTAGCGTTTCAGTCTGGGAAGATGAAGAATTTGGATGGTAGTGAGGGTTGCATGGCAATGTGAATGTGCCTAATGCCACTGAACCGCACAATTAAAACGGTTAAAATGGTAAATGTTATGTATATTGTCACAATTAATTAAAAACCACCACCCTTTGGTGACTTCCCATTTTCCGTGCATAATGACGGGTACTGGGTCTTGGCTGCCCAGTATCTCAGCCTCTGCAAGTGAGCTGCCTGCGTGAGACACGCTTACACTAGAGAAAGTTTCACTGTTTATCTGGCATTTAAATGTAACCGTCTCTCTGTGTTTACAGTGGGAGTGCCCCACACCTTCAGCACTGTCCCACCTGAACTGCTCCTCCTCTGACAGAGATACCCCACGTACTAAAGGTCAAGCAGCACCTGCTTAACGCTCCTAAGCCAAGTGCATGGCCCCCTCCTCTCACGACCAGGGCTTTCAGTTCAGGCCTCTATGGCACATTCCCTGTACAATAGTCACCTGTCAGCCTGGGCCCACTCGCATCCTCTGAAGCATATCGGGGCAGAACCAGATCACAGTCTATCCCTGTGTCCTCAGGCCCGGGCCTGAGGCCTGTCCTTCTGTATGGTCAATCTGTGTTTACTGGGGACCATTAACTGCAGAGGGAATTGTGTTCTCTCTTGTTCCTAAGTCATCATTTATTTACCTTTCCTTATATTTGGGGCCTTTCAACCAGTTTGTTTTTTCTTCTTGCTGTAAATCAGCTACCGTGGGCCTCTGAATTATTTTTATTTCCTTTGGAGTCATTTCTTTAGACCTAGATTCCAAAGTGAAGTTACTAGGGCACGGTTCTGGCCAGCTTTGCAGGTCTTGTTATATGCTGCTAGCATCCCTCTGGGACAGATAGAACCCAATGACAGAGCTCCCTGCTTCCCAGAACAGGTACCACCCTGAAGCTCGGTGAGGCCCTGGGGTTATGGGCCCCTCTGCAGGCCCTGTGGACCGTGGAGGTTGTTCACGCCATGAGGACAGGAATGGTGATATTTAGTCCGCCTGGAAAGGTCCAATGGAATGCAGAGAGCATGTTCGTAGAATCCCGCCTTGACCCGCAGTCTGTCAGAGCTTGGGTAAAGCTCAGTGTGAAGGATGCACCTGAGATCACTATTTAGTTGTCCTCTGATTGGATTGTCCCCCACCATTTTGCCAGAAGATGCACAAGAGTCTGAAAAATCTGAGAGTGAAAAGTGTCAATTCCATCTATTACAACTTTCTGTGATTTGGGGAGAAGCTGCTGTTTCAAGCCAGCTTGGTGGGAGACCTCACACCACCTCGGAAGCATCCTCAGGCTCAGCCCAGCTCCGGCTCCACTGCAGACCCAGCCAGCGGTCCCGGGGAGGCGAGTTTGCTCAGCTGAGAAAAGCATGCGCTGAGTTCAGATTGCAGAACGGGGTGGCAATAGGAGAGGGGTGAACATCACAAGCAAGAGCATGGCGCTAGCCCTGGCTGGTGTGGCTCAGTGGATTGAGTGGTGGCCTGC